TCAAGAAGACAACAATACTAACAGTAGTTACATGTACACCATGAGGAAAACTGTGCACCAGTTTCAAATTAACCATTGGTGGAGTACAATGTAAACTGAGTTCTTTCTAATGACTGTATACACTTGTTGTATGTATGTTGTAGATCTCTTGGCAAAGTATAGAATGTGGGCATGGCAACCAATTAAGGTTGCAAAATTTATTTCTTTTTCCCAGTGAATACAGTTGTAAGACTTTATACCTTACCTGTTAAAAGGGTGTGTAGATCTACATTGTCATCTAGACATTCATATGCATGACAAGCTTACATGGATTACATGACAAGAAAACTGCAGTTTAAATTTTTTTTTAATGTTTCTATTGAAACAAAGGAATTAAAACTTAAGATAATGTTATAATGTTAATTTCATTGACATACATTGATAGTAAAGTGGTTTAATTAAATTTTGAATGTAATGTAGTACCATACACAGAAAGGAATTTAAAACTGACGCCGGTAGCTGTAGGGTTAAAATGAGATTTTTTTATTGGAAAAATTAATAATTCAATAAAAACTAATTGTTTTTGATACGTTTGTTCTCAGTGTTTTCAAGGTTATGTGGGATTAACCATGCATTGTTTAGAGCAGTGTATAAAAGAGCATCTGAAACCTTGTGTTGGTAATTCTTCAAATATCCACAAACATCTGTATCAGGAATGTGACAAGAACTGGTGAAAAGAACTTTGACAAAATATGTAGTTCCAACAATGAAAGGTTTACGAATAAAAGAGACTGGTAATCAAGAAACTAAAATAAGTATTATCATAACCTGTGAGATAACAGATACTGTATTTTCTGAAGCTTAATTTTATATTTTAAGATGTATAAAGCTACATCTTTCTGATCAAACTCTATGTGAACAGTTTTAATGTAATGCACCAACCCCTAATTTATCTGAAGCTGTATATATATACATATATCAATTTACCATAATTCTGAGTTTACTCTGTGTATCTTCATGAAATTTGGCAAGCTTTTAGTAAACATTAGAAATCTGTTGTACACAAAAAATCTGATTTGTTAATAATGTATTTTTAGTGAAGATTATTATTTGAAGTTGTGGAGTCAATCTGACTCCGATCCTGACTGGCCTGAGACAAAAGTTATATTCATGTTAAGAATAAAAATAATCTTTTTCATCTTGCAGTATTCATATTTCTTTTGCAAAACCTCTAGAATCTTCTAAAGAATATCAAGTTGTTTTTTTTCAGTAAACCTTTATATTTTATCTGTTATTTTTTTACACTCTCACAAACTGTAATAAAATCAGCAATGCATAGTAAAATAAAAGTTAAAAATATAAGTTACTCTTTTTCTTTCTATATTGACTGCATATTGTAACAAACGATTAAACACTATTTATTCTTACAGCCAAAACTGAGACTTTTAGATCTGGGTTCATTTAGTTTTATTATTGCTTTACAGGGTTATTTTATGGGTTATTATTCTGTGTTTTAGGTGCATTATTTAATTAAATAAAACCTTATTAAGTGTAGTAGTACCATTATTATAAAAAGTAGGGTTTCATCAACAGTAGATAGCAAAAAAAAAAGATATAGGTATTATATTTCTTGTTTTTAATGTGAATTTTTAGTTTATTATTACAACTGTAACTAAAATTTAAAAAACTAGAAATATTGTTGAATAAGGTTAGATTAGGTAAAATAAAAAAAAAAATTTTAGGAGCCCATGCATTACGTAATTTGAAAGGGTAACATGAAATACATATTTTCCAAGTGATTTACGACTTGTGTATAACAGATATACATATTATTAAAAAATTTAATCTATTTAGTATAAACAAAGGTAGTTTCGTGTTACAATTTCAAGGCATTTTTAAATCACTATTTATTCTTACAGCCAAAACTGAGACTTTTAGATCTGGGTTCATTTAGTTTTATTATTGCTTTACAGCTGCATTTCTACCTTCTCAAATACACCAAAAGCCATTTATCACAGCAGGACAGTGTTGTGAATACAAATGATCGATTACTAGCACACCATGCTTATATTACAATCATGCCTCTCAATTGCTATGATTGAGAATTACTAGTAACTTTTTATTTTTTCATTTAAGTTTTCTTCTCTAACCCAATAAGTTTCTAGTTTTTACATTTTAGTTACTTTTATAACAACAAATAAAACAATATACATAAGAAACAAGACACTTAGTTCAAGTGTTCAAGCCTTTTCCTAAAGATGAAATACTGTAAGCCTACTTCTTTGTATTTGGTGTTGATGTTTCTTTTGTTTTTTAGATATTGAATTTAGAGCACAAAATATTATGCACAAAAATATAATGTCCTAAAACTACTATAATTTCACTGATTTTATAACTTGACAAACAATACAAAGGCAGGTGGTGAAACTGAGACCAAATATTTACAAACCTGGCTCTTGAATGAACTAGCCTTGTAAAGAACTTAGCAAAGCAAACTCTTTTCTTTCTGTTAGTTATGAATGATCCAATAGCAAATTTCAGAGAGAACTATTGAAATGTTTTGAAAGATGAGGAGCATTGCATGTGGGTTTCAGTTTCTTATTTATATCTTAGTAAATCTAAAAACTTTGAGGCTATTAATTTACATAATCACTTAGCAATATCTGCAGTACTATAGGTATAATATTTGTGCCAAACTCAGATCATATAGGGGTAAAACCAACAGTTTGAAGTGATGAAGTGTCACATGATATAGAGAAGTGAAGATGGAGAGTTTTTTTATTTATCTTTTGAATTAAGAAATTTAAAATTTGAATTACAAACTATATTTTGATGCCATGTTTATTATGTATATTGATAATAAAATTTTGAATGTAACTGTGTAAAAAAAATCATGTGCACATTGACTTCTGCTGTACAAATAGGGTTAACCCTCTTCCTATGGGCAGGTCAAAGTGTGCATGTCATAACTTTTTAGAGAGTTACAATCACAAGTTATTTATGTTAATTTATTATCATGGTTTACAAATAAATTTGTCATAAAATATAGATAATAAATCAAATTTTAATATTATATAAGTTTCAAGTTCTTAATTTTATAAGGAAATATTTTAAAAAATCCTCAATCTCACCCTAGTGCAAAAATTGTAACATTTGCTCTCTAGGTATCCTCTCTTTAATTTATTTATCACCCCTCTGAGAAGTATGGAATATAATGTAATATTATTACTGAGGCAAAACATAATTTTTATAGGCTTCAATCACACTTGATAACAGAGCCATAAAATAGAAAATCAGACCTATCTTGTTACACTCATTTGTCACATTCTCTCTTTCACAAATTGCCTGATGTTTAATACTACATTATTTATAACCAATAGAAAGCCATAGTTTTAACCTGTCAAGTGAAATATTATATTACATTGTTTTCTGTAAAGAGAATTGTATATTTTGCTTCCAGTTCAAACTTTATTCTCATGAGAAAAATATTGATGAAATTAGCTGAATTTTTATGGACTCTTATTTTCTTAGAAAGCCAGAAAAGTTATGATAGTTAGCTGATATTGGGTGATTTTTATGGGTTATTATTCTGTCTTTTAAGTGCATTATTTAACTAAATAAAATCTTATTAAGTGTAGTATTATTATAAAAAGTAGGGTTTCATCAACAGTAGATAGCAAAAAAAAAGATATAGGTATTATATTTCTTGTTTTTAATGTGAATTTTTAATTTATTATTACAACTGTAACTAAAATTTAAAAACTAGAAATATTGTTGAATAAGGTTAGATTAGGTAAAATAAAAAAAAATAATTGAGGAGCCCATGCATTACGTAATTTGAAAGGGTAACATGAAATACATATTTTCCAAGTGATTTACAACTTGTGTATAACAGATATATATATTATTAAAAAATCTAATCTATTTAATATAAACAAAGGTAGTTTCGTGTTACAATTTCAAGGCATTCTTAAAAGAAAAAAAAGTGTAATTTAGATTTATTTCATATTTTTTATGATAGTTACAAGGTCAGTCAAATTGACCAACCTCATATAGGGTTAGGGTTGAGAAAATAACATATATAATATAAAGTTTTACCAATAAAAAATGTTTGAAATTTATTGAGGAGGTTTTTAAAGATTGTTCCAATGAAATTTGACAATTTTCAGATGAAGAAAAGTATTTTTAATCTTAACATGAAAATCATTTTGCACCCAGAGCAGTCAACATTTTGATTCCATATATTCACAGATACATTTTAGTGAAATTACTTCATAAAAAATCTTTATTTTTTGTCTACAAATGATTCTTAATGCTTACTGAAAGTTTGCAAAATTTTGTGAAAATACACAGAACACACCTGAAGTTATAGTATTCAGACTATAAGTTCAATTTGGGGTCATGAACTTGGCCAATTTGAATGAGCCATTAGCAAGAGAGTTAGTGTGTATCAAAGTAATATTCCTCCAGTTATTAAATTGTTTATATACTTTTAAATTTTTAATGTAACATTGCCTGAGTTGATTTTATTTTTATCAATTCAACTGTATTTGAAGAGGCCTAAAGATAATGCAGTTGCAATTGTTTTAAATTTTTTAATGATTAAGCCATTATATGAACATAAAAGTCTGCTGTTTTCTTCTAATCTGTTGTAAAGATTGAATTTTTTGGCACATATAAGTTTCTGTCAACCAACACTGAGTTTAAATCATTATACAATCGTTTGTTCAAGTTAAATAATCATATGCAGTTGTGCTTTACTGAAGATACAGACTTGAACTTTTCTTGTTTAAGTATTATTATTAGTGTAACGTGTTATTACATTTAGTTAAAAAGATATTTTAGGTGTCAGTGTTCATTGATTCCAATAATTGCATGACAATACTACGTTATTCCTGAAATGTAAACTCATTTCAGTAACAAGATTTTACTAGCAAAAATTATTCTTTTATATATATATTTTTTACTTAATAGTTTAAATAACTTAATGTAGTGGACATCCTTTTATGTTTTCCCCACAGATGGGCTTTCCCAAGACTTTACCTTTTTCCTATTTTGTGCCTAAAGTTTATAATCAAGTGAAACAGTTCATCTATGCTTGTCTTAAATTTTCTGAAGACCTTAATCTTAGGTAGGTAAAATTGGTCTTAAGGTTAAAAAACATGTCAGATTTTTCTTTTCTTTTGTACGTGTGTGGTGAGATTTTTTTTCTTTTGTACTTACCGACTTTTGACAAATTAATCTATGTATATAATAGTCAAATGTCTGTCTGTCATGCTCTGTATCTCATGAACATTTAATTACAGAAAAAAACATGTATCAAAATACTTCTTTTCAAGAGTACATTACAGGAAAATTATTAATTTTTTTGCAACTTCTAAAATTTTACATAGAAATCAACAGTGATCTGTGTATCTTCATATGTGCTGAATAATCAATCTGAGAAAAAATTTTATTCAGAACAAAAATGTTTCTTTTTGTGATAGAATTTAACAAAAAATGGAACTTCTTTCATTGACTGATTGAAAGAAATATTTCAAAGATAGGAACATGAATGTGGAAAACAAATAAAGAGAAGAACTTGTTTGAGTATATATTTGCTGTTGTTTTGTTTTTTGATTTGTTTTTTATGTTGGTATTATATACTTGCATGATTTTATTTTGCTATGTTGAATAATTTGAAATGAATTGCATATTTTTCCTTTGACTTATAGAATTGAGATCTGTCAAAAAAAGCACACGAATGTTTCAATTTAAGTTTGATGCAAGTGATAAATTTAGTTATGTTTAGAAGCGATAGTTTATCACAGGTTTGTTTACGTAACTATACGAATCATACCTTGTGTAGTTCAGTTGTTGTGAATTGGCACTTTGTTGTATTATTGTGTCATGTTACTAGAATCTTCTCAGTTTTTCTTATTGTTTTGATTGAGTGTTATTGCTTCTTAATATCTTGTAGTGCGTAGAATGTTCTAGGCCTCGTTCAGGCTATAAATATGTGTACAAAATGTAGTTTGAGTTATATAGAAGACATAGTTATATATAAAAATAAAGTTGGACTGTGTGATTGAGTTTAGCCATAAAGAGCACATAGTTGCGATTTTTGAAGCGAACTTATCACAGACTGTATTGTAATAACAAAGCAGGAAGAATAATTCATTTTGTTGAATCACATTCTAAAGTAACTGAACCAGCTTGTGTGGACTTTGACGAAAAAAGAGACAATTATTTAAAGCTCTGGATACAACCGTGATAACCAACAGTGTAACGAACATTTGTATATATGTTTGACTTGCTTTGATATATTATTTTAAAACAAGTGGACTACATGCTGTTTGTTTGTTGTTGAAGTTTATTGCCAACAGGTCACAGACATATACTGTAAAGAATCTGGACACATGGAATGACAAAATATAGTTTTAAACAGCCCACTAGACAGTCATAGTGCATATACGCTATGATTCAAGTCATTGGATTGAGTGCACATTTTTTATTTATTTATTTATCACTATATTCTTAAAATTTGCCATTGAATTGTTTTAATGGGCATCTGCTAGTTATACAGAAAAGAAATAAATGAAATCTGTAATTTATTATAAAAGATGAATCTTAATGTTTATAGTCAGTCAGCATTCGTTCCGTATGCTTTATCATACCCATAATCTGGCTATAGAAATTTCTTTATAGGTAAAAATTGTCTGAAACAGTAGTTTTCTATATTCAGACAAGGGAATATTAGAAACTGGGTGTGATTGCTATTAGTATCATCAGTACTGATACAGGTAGTTGGTATATTTTGTTTAGTACCTCATAAACATAGCTAATTTTATACATTTTCTCTTCACACTTGCTCCCTCATGGCTCAGTGATAAGCTTCAGGGCTTATAATTTTAAAATTTAGAGTTTGATCCTTGTAATAGGCATTGCACAGATAGCCCATTTTATAGCTTTGCATCTAACAACAGACAAAATACTTTAGGTTTTATATGTACTTGTCTATAGCAACTTTTTTTCCACGCATTCTTATCATTCAGAATAAATTATGTACATCTGAACTGTAGTAACAAATTAAAAATTTTGGCATGTTTTTATTTCATATATTGATCTGATCTGGGTAAGTTTCAATAACATCTGCAAACCCCTTGAAACTTAGATAATACATGCAATACATTGAAGAATGATTGGCAATGCTGCATAAAATGGTTAAAATGGTTACTGCAAAATCTTCTCTGCATATTTTTTGTAACTTTTGCTTCAAATAAAAATCAGAAAAATGTCTTCTTTTTTTAAGTTTTTCATATTTGTTTTAATATAAAAGAGGAATCAATTTTATTTAAAAATTTGAAGCTTAATATTTATATTATGTATTTCTGAAATATTTCATGCTTTGTTCAGATTGTCTGTTCTTTTATTTTTTTGCTACCCGCAGTCAAACTGAAGCAGAAGATATGGTTCGGAAATCAACCAATTTACTGTTAACTAGAACACTTAGTGGTTGTTTATCAACTTTAATCAAGAAACCACATCTAGGACTACAAGAGGTATGGTGTGTATAATCATAAAAATTTACTGATAAAATGTATGACATAGGAAGCTATGTGCAAGAAGACAGATTATTTGAATACTTGAGATTTGGAGGTATCAGAAGACTTACTGAAATATGGTCAATGTAATTATACTGTTTTATTCATTTTGATGGTGTTGCTTTTGTTGTTTACCATCCCACTTATTTTATGACAGAAAAAAATAATTCTTAGTCAAAAGATAATTCTCAACTATTTTGCAAAGGATTGTGACTAATACAACACAGTATCTGAATGCAGATATATATGCATTTAAGTAACTATGAAATACCTTTATAACAATTTGTAATAGATCGTCATAGAATATAATGATGCCCTTGTCAGTTAGTGATCTAAAATGAAGTAACTCAAACTGCTGTTGCTGAACTGCCATTCCTTTTACTTGCAAATGGTAGTACCACAGTCATTACACTTGTTCATGGATCTTATTTTTAATAGCAGATGTGAGTTGGACTTTAACCCTTAACAGATAGTGTTAGTTTATTGGATCAGAACCCTTGTGTGAAGCTGTACATAATTCTGAATTTATTAAGTGTATCTTCATGAAATTTTCTAAGGTTATTATTTTTCATAAAGATTGCAAGTCTGTTGTACACACAAACAAACAACAGTTTTTTTTAATACACAAAATATTTTTACTAAACTATTTTCTGTGTCATTTTAAATGCTCTGAGTGTAAGGTGATTTTCATGCTAAGAATAAAAATACTTCATTTCATCTTACAGTTTTCATATTTAGTTTGCATAATCTCTTGAACCTTCCAAATGGATAGCAAAACTTTTTAAAAGGTAAAACTTTGTATTTATCTGTTATTTTCTGTACCTAACACTAACTATAGCTGAATCATTAAACTGGAATTATAATTTGAAAATTATGAAATAAAATGAACTTTTTTTCATGAAGTTCTGCACTCATCAATTAATGAGTTAAAATTGTCTCTAACTTTTTGCCACAAAGAAAACATTTCACCTCTGAAATTTGCATTTTAAAACAAATAATACATAATTATCTCAACTTGAATGTCAAAGACAAACTATATTTTAACTGTCTTTCTAAGTAAGGTATAACTAGGTTATAAAATGTTAACTGCCATGAGTGGCAGCTTCCCTTACTACAAAGTTAAACAATCAAAATGTCTTGTTACTTATAACTGCTTCAAATTTCAAAAAGACTGTTGGAAGCATGAAATTGAAAGAAGCTATTATTTATTTGTTATAAAAAAAAAGTATGTCAAATAAGATATGGTCTTGGAAACTGCCAAGAGATTAACTTAAAATAGCTATTTCTGGCCCATTTTTTTCACCCTTCTTTGAAAAATAGATATTTGCTACTTTAAAATCTTCACTTTCAGTTTTTGCAACACATTTTGTCAAAACAACCCTACATATTCTTCAAAAATGGTATTGAAAATCATAATCCTGAACTGAAAATAAAAATATTCTCACAGCAACCACCCTAGCAATGGAATTCATGGCTATTTGCAACCTCTTTGATGGTAATTTTTTCAGTTTTTGTGACACAAAATCAATGCATTATAAAGTGGCTGGTCTTAAAAGACTACACCAATGCTGAAACAGTTTGCTAACTTCACTCTGGTGAAGCTAACAAAGCTTCAAGTAAATAGTGTTCAACTCCATGTGATACTTCTATGACTGCTACTATGTCCACTCTTTTGTCTTTTGAAAGTTAAATTCCTCACTGTAAGGTTTTATTTACTGCCAAAAAGTTTAAAGATTTGGATGAATTTCCCTTTCCTTATACACTGAAGAAATTTCAATGGCAGAAGAAGAAGAAAATGAAAGTTCCATGGGAACCAGCAATGTAGCAGAACTGAGCCACATACTACTACATGAGATCAATCTTGAGGATGGAAAATTGTTAAAATAATGGTGAAACCTTGAAGTGATGGCAACTTTCATTTTTAATCACTTTTTTTCTCCATTCCATTTTTTTCCCTACCTGACAGACAAAAACAATTGTAGTTTTGTCAAATTTTCATGGATTTCTACCAAATTTTCACATAAAACATCTTGGAAATACTGCAGGGATAAACCAAAACATGGGTCGTAAAAAGTTACACCCTAACTATAAGAGGTCTGTAACTCGAGGGTTGATTTGTAACATTGAAAATAAATAAATTTTTTGTTTTCCTCTTCTTCTGTGATAATCTGACATTTGTCTTCTTAAGCTTTAAATTGATGTATAATTTAGTTGGGTCGTGTTATTAAACTTTAAGATACTGTGATTTTAGATAATCTGAATCTGAGCTCATAAATATGCTCATACTAATGAAATAACTTGCATAATTAATTGGAAGTAAATTATTTTGTGTTACTTTCAAGTTCATCAAACTTTGAGGTCCTTAGTTTTTCCTAGAGTCCAAAACTAGTAATGCATACATCAGTGGGCTATAAGCAAATAATACCCAATGCATGAGCTTTTTTCTAATATATTAAACTGATCAATGAAGAACTTTTTACTTTTTTAATTATGTAATAGAATAAACAATTAAGAAAAACTTTCTTCAGTTGAAACTGTCCACCTGTTTGTACCATTGTTAAATACCAGATAAACAAGTATAATGAAGTATTATGCATTGAAGTGCTCCAATCTACCATTATGATTCTATCACCATTGATTAATACCAGATACACAAGTATAATGAAGTATTATGCATTGAAGTGCTCCAATCTACCATTATGATTCTATCACCATTGATAAATACCAGATAAACAAGTATAATGAAGTATTATGCATTGAAGTGCTCCAATCTACCATTATGATTCTATCACCATTGATTAATACTTCAGCTTTTGTTTTTGGCATTAAACCATTTTAGTTTAATATTTGATGGTATTTGATCTAGAGATGGTTTTTCATTACTGTAAATAAATAGAAGAAATCCTGGTAGTTTTTTAAATTTTATTGTGTTCAAAAGCCAATTAGGACATCTCGGCCTTTCCATTATAAACTGTTATTTATTTGATTTTTTGTTCTACTTAAAAAAGCTAGTACACAACTATGAGATGTTACACTGCAGCATGATAAAATTAGAAAAGAAGGTACACTATGATTTAGCAAGATATCAGTTTTTGTATGGCATATAATAATAGTATGAGTATGAAACTTTTAAAAAAACATCACTAAGAAAATAGATATTCTCAAGTTATGTTGTGTATGCTACCTGTGCTGTTGAAGATAATCCAACAGTTGATATAGTAATAACACTCATCTAACCATCTGATGGATCACTGACTTAAGTATTATAAATTTAAAGACTTAATATTTCATAAACTGTTGATAGATAGTATATCATTTAAGGCTTTTTATCTTTTAATCCACCTGGGCTGATGAGCTTGGGTATTGAGCAAAAGTAGCAGCATACAACAGATAGTGTGGTTGAAACAGTTTCTTCTTTACATAAAAAACAAGACAATTGTACATTTCACAAATACCTGATGATGTCTTTACTGGCAAAATAATGGACGTAATAAATGATGCATTTGTGAAATGTACAATTGTCTTGTTTTTCCTCAATTCTGTAATTATGGAGTTTCACCAAGTACCATCTGTTTCAAGTATCAGTTGTATTTCCTTCTTTTGTTACTCACACTTCCTAAGTTGAAACATTGTTTGTAATGCTGTTACTCATGCTTCCTACTGATTGAAACACTGTTTTCTCGTGCTTCCTATTGACTGAAATATTGTTTATCCATTCTTCCTAATGACTGAAATACTGTTCCTCATGCTTCCTACTGATTGAAATGCTGTTACTGAAGCTTTCTACTGATTTGAAATGTTGTTATTCATGCTTCCTACCGATTGAAATGATGCTTACTCATGCTTCCTACTGATTGAAATGCTGTTTGCTCATGCTTCCTACTGATTGAAATGCTGTTTGCTCATGCTTCCTACTGATTGAAATGCTGTTTGCTCATGCTTCCTGTTGATTGAAATGCTGTTTACTCATGCTTCCTGTTGATTGAAATGCTGTTTACTCATGCTTCCTGTTGATTGAAATGCTGTTTACTCATGATTCCTACTAATTGAAATGCTGTTACTCGTGCTTCCTATTGATTGAAATGCTGTTTACTCATGATTCCTACTGATTGAAATGCTGTTACTCGTGCTTCCTATTGATTGAAATGCTGTTTACTCATGATTCCTACTGATTGAAATGCTGTTTACTCATGATTCCTACTGATTGAAATGCTGTTTACTCATGATTCCTACTGATTGAAATGCTGTTTACTCATGATTCCTACTGATTGAAATGCTGTTTACTCATGATTCCTACTGATTGAAATGCTGTTTACTCATGATTCCTACTGATTGAAATGCTGTTACTCGTGCTTCCTACTGATTGAAATGCTGTTTACTCATGCTTCCTACTGATTGAAGTGCTGTTACTCGTGCTTCCTAATGACTGAAATGCTGTTACTCAAGCTTTACACTGATTGAAATGCTGTTTACTCATGCTTCCTACTGATTGAAATGCTGTTTACTCATGCTTCCTACTGATTGAAATGCTGTTTACTCATGTTTCTTAATGACTGAAATGCTGTTACTCAAGCTTTCTACTGATTTGAAATGTTGTTATTCATGCTTCCTACTGATTGAAATACTGTTTACTCATGCTTCTTACTGACTGAAACGCTGTTTACTCGTGCTTCCTAATGACTGAAATACTGTTACTCGTGCTTCCTACTGAAAACCTTTAGCATAGAGATGATTCAGTTTTAATTTATTTAATTATTCAGTGTCAGGTAAAATTTTGCAACTTCACATTTGTTATTTCTATTTTCAAAAAAGATAAATCTATTGCAAGAAATTTCATGTTTTCCAGTGAGCTTTCAGTTAGTCACCTACAGGTTGTTTGCTTCCAACCTTTTCTTGAATACTTTGTGTGAATGTTTATTTCATGTAATAATATTTCTAAACTTAATGTTTAGTAAAAA